TATCACTAGCCTACGATGTGGTGAGCACCGATGACAAACTTGTTTGTTTTCTTATTATTGAGTTTTGAAAGCTCTTTATATATTTTGGATATCAGACTTTAGTCAGATCATATGATTGTGAATATCCTTCCTGGTCTGTGGCATGTCTTTTCAATCTCTTCATAGTGTCTGTCAAAGAACATTCATACTTTTTAGGAAGTTCAATTTATCATATTTTGCTTTAACGGTTCATGCTTTTGGAGTTCTATCTAGAAATCTGTCTGACCTAAGGTGACAAAAGTTTTCTCATATTTTGTTCCAGAAGTTTTTAGTTTTAGGTTTTACATTTATGGCTATGATTCATTTTGAATTAATGTTTGGATATAGTTCAAGGTATGAATTTAAGTTAATTTCTTACCATAAGGTTATCCAATTATTCAAAACCATTTGTTGAAAAAATTTTTCTCCAATAAATTAATTGCCCTTGCATTTTTATAAATTGCGTGTTGAAACTTGTGAATAGTTTCCCTTTTTCCGCACTCGTCATCACTATCTGTGGGTCTATTCCTGGACTCCCTATTCTGCTCCATTGATGAATCTTTCTCTCTCTCTTTCTCTCTCCTGGACTCCCTATTCTGCTCCATTGATGAATCTTTCTCTCTTGATGCCAACACTATATACTGTCTTGATTACGTAGTTCTGAAATAAGGCTGGAAGTCAGGTAGTACACATTTTCCAACTTTGTTCTTCATTTTCAAAGTTTGCATTTCCATTTGAATTTTATAATAAGCCTGTCAATTTCTATAGAAATCTTGATTGGGAAAATTTTGAATCTACGCTAATTTGGGGATAATTGACAAATTAACAATACTGCGTCTCCTGATCCATGAACACAGTATGCCCCTCCATGATTTTAGGTCTTTTAAAAATTCCTTCAGTTTTCTGTCTATAGGTCATCCACATTTTTTGGTTAGATTTATCCCTTAGTATTTCAATTTTGGGAAGAGGGTATTATAAACAGTATTTTAAAATTTTACTTTCTGATTACATATATGTATATGTATATAGACAGATGACTTATTTATTGATCTTCTATCCTGCAACACTGCTAACCTCACTTACTAGTTCTA